TAAACACTTGAAATTTTTGAAAATTGACGGTCTAGAAAATGCATTACAAAATGCACTATTTCCAATACTTGAAATTTATTTTTTCTCATGTCCATATATCTTGAGGTTGAGATGTCGATTTGACAATTTTTGGACATCGAACAAGCCTCTTCTTGTGAATTTTTGAGGTTCACCTTAATCTGATTGTTTAGGGCCTCACCCTTATATAAACTTTTACCTTTTGTTAATGCACCTTCAAAAAAAGACGATAACACTATTTTTTCTTCCAAATTAAGAAAACAAACAAATATCCTAAACCTAAACAAATGGGGATAGAACGATCAGACCAATTATTTCATGCATAAAAACATAAATTCCTGGATTGCTTCATTTTACCATGGAAATCATGTTCTGCATTCAAAACTTGAACAATCACAGGTATTACCAATATCTGGCTTAGGCCATTAAGCAGTAGTGGGGCAAAATTTCCTAAATACTCCTTAGTCAAGGTTTTCAATCCCGACCTAAGGCAACTTGATTGGTCTAGAACAGAACAAAGGTGCTTGAGTTGAATGAAACCCAAAATCATAACTCCTGTTAATTGTGATGATTTAACCACCTTGATGATAATTTTTGTGAAAGTAACTTAAATATTACTTATTCAAATGACATTTTGCATTCCTTTTTTTGGGGTAATACTTGTGGACTTCACTAGCCGGATTTGAAAGAGAAGCCCTCTAAATTTCTCGATGCAGTAAGTTATTTCTTTTTCTCTCAATCTCAATTCATTGGGCGTATTTTGCTCTATTTCTTTTTCTCTCAATCTCAATTCATTGGGCGTATTTTGCTCTATTACGTTAATAATTTTAAAAACGAGAACCGGCGATTTGCTACAGTAAAACGGTGTTTAGCTAAAGTAAAAACACCGATTCACCGATCCAGACCGTTTTTTGACCAGTTCACTATTTTTGCACCTTTTTTCCGCCAGATCACTTTTTTTTTTTTTTTTTTTTTTTTCTGTAGTGTAAAACGGAGATCCAGACCGCTGATACACTGATTCGGACCGATTTTTGCAGAGCCCGTTCCTAGTCACCGATCCATTTTTTAAATCACTAATTAGGTTATATGTGTTGCCCCACCAACATGGCACAGTTTATCCGAGCCCAATGGTCCCCTTTTCATAGCCTCTGTATATGAACCCAAGTTTGGCGTGAAGTTTAGAGCCCAATGGCCCCACCTCTGTTTAACCGAGCCCAATGGTCCCCTTTTCATAGCCTCTGTATATGAATCCAATTTTTTTTTTTGGTACTACAGTGGGGATGTCGAGCCACTACCTATTTTTGAAATCGTTAGTGATTTTTTATAAGTGAGAATAAAAACCTAGACTTTAAGTAAGGCACGAGTGGTACCCAACCTCATTCTCATCCCCTTTTTATGTCGAAGCAATTCAAGAAGAGAAGTCGTTTGGTATTTTTTATAAAAAGGAGCTTGAGCAATAGGTAATCTCTCTCTGATTAATAAAAAGGAGCCCGAACCGGTGGTTGGTTCAAATTGTACTTGTATGTGCAGGATGAAGGGAGGTATCCTCAGGCGATATCCAGTGGATCTAAAGGGACCAATGAACTTGTGGGCTCTTCTTTAAACCTCCCATTTTTTCTTCCTCCTTCATGTTCTATCTCTTTCTTTCTTTCTTTTTTTCTTCTCTCTTCCTTTTCCTTTCACCTTGTCTGTTTCTCTTCATTTCTGTTCATTATCTTAATGACAGCTTATTGTTTCACAAAAAAAAGGACCTCCAACAATATGTAATCTCTCTCTCTTCTCTTAATGACAGCTTATTGTTTCACAAAAAAACGGACCTCCAACAATATGTAATCTCTCTCTCTTCTCTCATTAATAAAAGGAAAAATGTTATAATAAGGCCTAGATGTAATGAAAAAAAAAATTAAGGTTGTCTCAATTCTCTCTAAAAATTGAAGCTTTGGATATGAAAAACCTTCAACTCGACCATCTCGATCTTGGCCATGATAGATATGAAAGATTTCAAGCTCTAAAAGATATGTATATTGTAACATGTTATCTAGACTGTATATTTTTAAGTATTCATAGATCCGCAAGATCTTTATTATTTTTGGGCTACAAGCTACAAATTTTATAATCAGTGTAGAAATATATTTTAGAGCCATCATAAGGTATTCCATAAACAGTGTTTTAACGGATGAACTTTCGAAGTGAGGCTTTACTTTTTTTCAATAAAAGTAGGTCTTATAGAAAACATTAACAAAAAGGAGCTCGTGCAATATACAATAGATGCAGTTTCTTTAAGGCCTGGGCCTTGTAAAAGAAAAGAAATGTGGAACACTATACTGCATAACATGGTTTCAAGTAGAGCAAGCTTCTCACAAATTTAAAAGCACTGAATCATGGCCATGAAAGGTACAGTTGTACGCCACAGCTGGAAGCGTCCCGTTTATAGAAAATCTTGGGAAAACTATACTTTTATAAATGTACATGTATACAAATACCAGCCATTGTTTTGAATATAAAAGTCATTTTCTTTTTCTTTTTTTTATTTTAATTTCAAAACTTAAAATCAGTTGGAAGCATAGTTAGCAAGTGAAGAAACAATAATACATCGGCAAATCAAAATATCGGTGATGAATCGGTTTTGCTCTAAAAAGTTGGAGGCAAAAAAATTCAAATCAAAAATACAAATCGATAAAGACTAGTTAAATTAGAGAATCATGAATATTTCAGATTGGGCTAAGAAAACAGAGTGTAAAAATTGGATATATAAAAATAATATAGTATAAGATTATGAGTTGCAATTATCACATGTATACATTAAAACCATTGAACTATAATTTTTATATCCTTACCTAGTATCTTTAGAGTCATAGTCGACAAATTGGTTTCTAAACTTTCACTAAATACAATAACAATGCTTACTCTATTATCGCGAGTCGCGTCACAAAAAATATGATAGATTTATTGGGTATACAATAAAACAACATGAATACTAAACACAAAAACTACATTAACAAACGACAAGAGTGGGACTTACGGTATGAAATTATCGTTGGAAGAAAAAATTAAAAAAGACCTTCCATATAGGATTGCAGTTAACTAAAACCTAAAAAAGTAAATTAATGGTCCATCTAAATTGTTGTGTTGAATAAAATAATAAAAAGATGAAATTAATCAATTTTTTGCATGTAGAAAAAACAGCAACAAAATGCTTAAGTAAATATAAATATAGCAACCTAAATCTTTAGTTGACACTGAATCTCTCTCTTATTCTTTATAATGATGCTCTCTATTTGAAAAAAAAAAAAAGATTGTTTTTTTTCCAACCAATTGAAATCGACTACACGAATTCCAATTAGCCATTCTGCTATATTAAGAGTCATACCCTCAATGTGGCCATAAGTCCCTATCTTTTCTTACTACTTCCAACTATGTTCTTTTGAGCCTACCCCTTGCCATTTTTTAGCTGGAACTAGCTCACACCTCCTAACAGATATTGCATTGGGTTTGCGCTACACATGGCCAATCCGCCTAAACTCTCTACTCTCTCATCTTATTACCTATTAGTGTCACACTTAGATTTTCCCGAATATATCCATTTCAAATTCTATCCCTTCTTATCTTGTCAATCGTCCATCTCAACATCCTCCTCTTTGTTACACTCATTCTATCGGGATATTATCCCCTCCCACCGCCAAACATTCCACCTTATAGAGTAAAACCAGTCTCACAACTATATCCTACAAAACTTGTCCTTCAGCTTCATTAGTATGTAACATCACATAAAATCTCGGTTGCAAACCTCCACTTTGCCCCACCCAACTCTAATTCTATCCTTGTAACGCTAACTATTATTTTAAGATATATAGTTGTTTTGATAGATTATTTTTCGAAGAACATATTACACATTTTTAAAGGGAACATATTGAGGAAATTTTTATATAATTTCTTCTTAAATCAATATTCTTAATTTACTTCCACTTTTCGCATGCTTAGCTTTAAACCAAAATTCAAAGATATTAAATAATGAAGAGAGAAAGTTAGAGGGAAGACTTTTTTTGAAAAAATAATGAAGACAGAAACTTGGAAGAATTTTTTTGAAAAAATACAAAATGCAAATTTATATCGATTCTATTAAAAAACGTGAATTTTTGAAAATCATTTGAAAAACTTTGAGTTCTTAATGGATTTCAAAAAATCTGGAGATTTTTCAAAAAACTCATGTTTTAAACGGAGACTTGCTATGATTGGGAGAGGCTTAAGAAAATCATGAAACAACCACTGTTCCGAATGGATCACCAATTATATTCAAACAATAAGCATTCATATCCAATTTCTAGGATCTTGTTTTGGCACGGCCTCACTTCCTCACATGTTCAAATAATATGTTCAATAACCACCATTTTGCAACCCCCTCTAGGAATGCAATATATTTGGGGATTTCGGCCTCAAAAACCTTCCTAAACCCCTGCAATCTCATCAATCTGATTGGAAATGTTGGAAATCTGATCAATCTAGAGTCCGTAAGAAATTAACATTCCTGATCAGATGCTGAAATAGCACCGGATCAAGCATTGTTTTTGCTACAATTCCGATTTGCTCTATCTTGATCTTGCAGGTGAAGATGATAGATTATTTGTGAAGTCGAGTCCTCAACCCATCCTTTTGATGGATTTTGTAAGCGATGCATTAGCTCCAAGAATACCTTCAAATTTCCCGCTCGACCTTTCTGATAGCAGGTTATCAGCTTACAAAACTGACGTAGTATACGTAGGGCAAACGCCCAAATTAGCTGTAAGTCGATAGGGATTTCTCATACAGGCCATATGATTAAATATTTTCGATCCTTGATCCATAGGGGGGATGGGTTGTGGCCACCATTAATCAAATCGAAACTCACTCCCGAGATATGTATATCCAAAATGACAGAGAAGACGTGAGAGCCACGCCCAGTCGTATTGGTGCAGAGGCTTCCACCCTTCTCTTTGCTATGAAAGTTTAAAAAGTTCAAAGGTTATGCCTAAAACACAGAAGATAAACCATTTTCTCGTTCACAATGTTCCCCCAAATAAGGGCCAAACAAAAGTTTCAACAGTTCGAACAAAAACACACATACACAGAGATAGAGAAAGGGAGAGGCTCTGCATGTGCAAGTCCCGCAAAATAGAATCATCAATAACTCCTAATCATCAATAACTCCTAATGTACACATCCTCAATCCTCCATTCCTGCGATATGGCCTGTCTCTGCTCCACCACCACCATTAGCGAGACTCTACAAGTATGTAGAGTGGCTTCCCCTTCAACCTCTCTCTTCCCTGCATTATCAGAAATTGCCCAAAGCCCCAATCATATTATCCAACAATTAGTGCTGAATAAACCAAATGTATCCCAACTATCTCTAATCACCATAAGTTGAATCACGGAATCAATATTTGCTTACAGCCAAAATACACCACTGTGCAGCATTTCTCACCAACATTGTGCATCATCATGAGTTGAAAGAATATGTTAGGTTTTTGTCAGCAACCCTACTGCTCCCACTCACACTTGAGTGCACACAGACACACACTTAAGGATTTTAACATATAATCATGCATTTTACAGTCGTTATTTGAGGATATTAGGGTTTAGAGTTAAAAGAGTCCAACTTTCACAGTCTCCTGAAATGCATTCTCTGCAGCGATCATATTCCAAAAGACTTCCATCCGTGTCTAGAAAATGGTGGACATATGCAATTTCTTTGAGACTATATGCAGTCCGATTCTGGTTGTCATTAAATTGAAAACAAAGTGCCCGCAGCCACTTAACCGAATGTAGCTTCAACAACATATGGTACATTGTGGACTACGCAGCACTGATATGTGAACAAGCGCATGGGATCCTCGCAACATCCATCAAATCTTCCGAGGACCCTAATGAACCTCAGGTCTCAGACAAGCTCCATATGACATGTGAATAGTTGGTACATAATTGCACGGCACATATGCGGAAGTACTACTTAGAAGCGACTTAGAAAATTGCAGTGCATGTCCTTTCCAAAAAAAAAAAAAACGTTTTCCTTTTAAAACAAAAACAAACCAGAAGTTTAAAAATTAACCTATATTTTTTGGGTGAGAGCAGGGAGAGGGCCCCTACCCTTGGTAGGAATTGAGCCAAGGACGTAGAGTTGCAAATCATCAAGCGCTAACCAAACCTTGGCTCTTTTCCTAAATTTAACTCATATTTAGACATTAAAACATACACAACATTCTTTCAAATAACTACACAAGTTTATAGTCATATAATACGAGGTCCTCATAAACAATGTTTCTCATCACTAATAACATGGATACAGATTGCTACTATTGGAAGGAGTTTTGTTAAGTTGGTGCAAGCTGCTGATATGCATCCCTAGTATTGTTTAATAGCAGTAACGAGTACAAACATACTGGTACAAAAAACACACATCCTTAGGGAATTTCGGGGCAAAACATGATCTTAAAAGCCCAAGTCATCCCCAAAACATGGAGATTTTGAAAATTGTGCAGGGTTTTGTTCCAAGAACAAAACATCCAAGGCCACATTTTCCGAATCTTACATCCAATTTTTCCAATACATTGAAGAAGAGAATTTTTTTTTTTTTTTTTTGGGGGGAAGGGGGATGTGGGATTTATCCAGTGCCTGAACATTGTCTGTATTTGGTATATTTGGGGACAACCCCCAGCCACCAGATTCATAAATCAAATTAGTACCAGAATAATGTTCTACAAGAAACATACCAAAATATAAGTGATCTTAGAGCTTGTAACAGGTTGGGCTTGAGCTGAGCTAGTCTTTGGTTGGGGGCACAGACCACTGGTGGCCCAGCACTGGCCCTGGCCCACCCGGGCCTTGACTAGGTGGGCCCAGCCCGGCTCTAGCCCAGTTCGGGCTGGGCCTCATGAAATTTACCAACAAAAGAAACATAGAAAAGAGAAACAAACAAAAATTTTGGACCAGGCCAGCCATGGCCTCTGGCCCTGCCCTTGGGCGGAGGTGACCCAGCCCTCGGGCCAACTCGTGTCCCAAACTAGGGTTTCCATGGCCCAAGTGACCGGGCCCATTGCTAGCCATCCATATTTATATTGCAGTTACCTGATTTTATTCAATCTAGACTACTTCAAAGAATAATCCCTCACATATAGAGAAAGCCAAAGTTCGGTTGAAAAGAGGTATCTCTATTTATTTATAATTTTGTTTCAAAATAGTAAAATGGGAAGGACATGTCTTAGAATTTGTTCCTGAAATGCCCTCTATCTAAATTCATTAATTCCACGTAAAATTCACATATCGTATAGTTACATAGACCTTTCAAGGGCATTTGGTAATATTCACTTTCAGTTTTTCAATTACTTTCTACAATATTTTGTAAGTGTTCAAGTTGTAATTTTTAAATCATCCAAAGGTTTTTCATGAAGAATAATCTTAAGAGCATTGAATGAGGTAATTAAAACG